CAGGGAGCCCGATGTGGGGCTCGATCCCAGGACCCTGGGATCATGACCTGAGCCAAAGGCAGACACTTAACAACTGAGCCACCCAGGCGCCCCGGCTAGAGGTATTCTGTTAAAAAATTAGGAATAAATCTCATTTCGAAGTCAACTTACTCATGGAGAGCAGATCCTAATTTTCCTATAGATTAAATTGCCTTTAAAAATGCTTGCTCTGTAGGTACAGGAAAACTGAATGTTCTTCCTCCTGTGCCCCGGGCAATCACCTAGCCCAAGACACGTGAGCACAAGGCCACAAGATTACCTTTCCTCCAAAGACTAATCTAGTGACCCTTGGGAACTTACAGATAGGAAGCGGGAAAACTACAAATGCAGCAGCTTTTCTTTGCCAGAAGTACCCTACCCACTCAGTGTTTTTTGCCTTCTGCATCTGTACTTCTGGATTGTTCTGATTGCCTTGCAGTTTATTCAGCTTATGCTTACAATGACAGGCCCTGCCACTCATTTCAACAGAGGATCGCACTTAACTTGACCTAACCTGAATGGGTTGCCAGACTGTGTCCTCCTCAGGGATTTGCACATTGGTGTTACCACAAAGGAATGTGACTTGTTGCCTAAGAAATGACATGATGCCTAAGGGCACTTGTAGAGAAACGTGCTTCTGTTCCTTCTTCCTGCAAACTGTCGTGGTTCAGAAAAACAAGTAACTTGTGGCCCTGGATATGAATCATCAAAGAAGAAAAATGCCGTCATTCCTAGAGAAAAGATGAACACTTACCTTCACCTCTGGTCTGGAAGGATAGTGGAAGGTCACATTATGGAATTCAATTTCACCCTTAATTCGATCCAACTTGTAACCCTCCTCTGACATGCAGTCAATGTTGGGTTTCTGGAGTAGAATATAAAAGGAATATAGCTACAACAAATACATATGCATCTATTGTCCATCCTGGTTTGAATTTACTCGTAAAACAGAACAACAACCAGGTAAAACACTGCACCAAAGTTGCTTCCACATTAAATATTTATTAATAATAGTAATAATACTAACATACACTGAGATATTAATATGAGATATATTACTAGATATGAATACTATTAGCATATCATATTACACACATAATATATTAATAGATAACCAAACATACACAAAGAATTAATACATAATTAATTATAATGAATATGAAATAAATGTCAGTATATAATTGATATATAACTTCACATTAATTAAATAGAATTAATTTAATTATTATTACTATTTGTTGATATATTGCTATGACATATATTATTGTATGACAATATAGTAACAATATATAACAATATTATAATATAATATGTAGTATTGATCTATAATTACGTTAGTATATAATATATTATTATTATGTATTATTATATTATTGGGATACCATGGAAGACAATTTACAATTGTCTTTTTTCATTTATGTAATTGTCACTATAACCTAACTAGACAGGTGATATGCTCAATTGTTCACTGAGGAAGTAGAGAGCTCTCAAGAGAGGTTAAGTATCTTTCCTAAAGCCACACAACTGGTCAGCCAAGCTGGGGTCCAATAGTACTCTACATCTGAATACCTATCGTAGATGATAATTAAAACTAACTGCATGTCCTTAAGTGGTATCCTCAAATACTACCAACTTTCAGTTGTTATGCTGAATTTCACCTCTGTTGTTGTTAGTAGTGAGCCTAATCTAGAATTTAACCATTCTAGTTAATCAGACAAGAATGAGGGCCATCTCCTGCCACCAGAACACTCCAGGGTCAGCTTCTTCTCCCTTCTACACTTGTGAGATAAATTCATCATCATATCTCTATCTGGGGCAATAGTGTAATCTACTTTCTTCCTCTTGGGTCTCTCGTAAAGATAATAAAGTAATTTTTAAAGGCCTTAGTTTTTTCTAATAGCTTCAAAGGCCTTTTAGACTCATCATCTTATCTAAGCATATAATAACCCTAAGAATGAGGTACAGTTTGGTTAACTCAATGTGTCTATGTGGTTTTCAACAATCTGTTTATACTGCAATATATGAAGCCCCAGATATAGAACAGATAAAGTGATGAACAGTCTCCTCACGCAGGTTTTATGCTTCATAAATACTGAAGATTTAGGGGACCAAAGAAACACTTCTGGCTTTCCATGGCTTCCAGAGAGGAAGAACAACATCCTGCTCTCTTCCTCCTTCCATTCTCAGATTTTGACTTTCTAGCTGGACCTTCAATGCACTTCAGTAGATTAAATCCTAGCTAGGCTACCAGAATCCTTTACAAGCTTGTAGAAGCTTTCTGTCACAGTTAAAAGATAATCTAAACCTATGAACTTGGCCTTAAAGACTTGCATTATCTGGCCCCTTCCTCTCTCTCCAGCCTCTGTACTCTTGCTCACTCTGCTCAGACACATTGACCTTGTTTTAGGTCCTTGCATTCACCAATTCTTTTCCAACCAGAAGCGCTCTCTTCCAGGAATAGCCTCCCTGCTCTTACTTCCCATGCACCGCTCCTCCCCTAAACCTCACTTTGCATGGCTGACTCTCCCTGCGGTTCTCAGCGCAAATACTACCTCCTCAGAGATGATGTTCTCCTCACTTGAAGACTCCTCCCCTCACCCCAACCGTTACCACCCTATTTTATTTCCTTTATTGCACTGATATTATCCTAGCTTTGAATGTACTTACTTCTTTTTTCAACTTTTATTTTTCACTGAAGTAAGTTTGGTTTCAGGTGTACAACATAGTGATTCGACAATTACATTACCAAATGCTCACCAAGATACGTGTAGTTACCTTCTGTCATACAAAGTTATTACGATATCACTGGCTACGTTCTCTATGCTGTACTTTTCATCCCAGTGACTTATTTATTTTACAACTGGCAGTTTATCCCCTTCACCCCAACCCCCTAGCCCCCTCTTCTCTGGAAACCACCAGTTTGTTGTCTTGTATTTATGAGTCTATTTCTGTTTTTTTGTTTGTCCATTTGCTTTGCTTTTTGGATTCTCCATATAAGCGAGATCGTATGGTATTTGTCTTTCTCTGTCTGACTTATTTCACTCAGCATAATACCCTCTAGATCCATAAACGTGCTTACTTCTTTATTGCCTGTTTTCCAGTATGATAGGAAAGCAAGGGTCTTATTTGTTCTATTTCACTCTTGCGGTCCCAACTCACTATGGGTTCTGGCTGATGACAGCCCCTATTAAGTATTGCTGAATTAAGGGCATTGTGATAGCCCCTCATTTTTCTTAACATTGAGGGTAAATTCCTCAGAACTTCATTTTTCTCCCCACCCCCAACCTGTTCATGGCCTTTACTTTGGCTTTCACATACCTGGTCTATTGTCTGAAAAATGCCGGTGGCCGCTGCACGCCCAGTTGCAAAGGCTTCCAGACAAGAAGATGCATTGCCAAGATTTAAAGCTCCTAATAGAATACTGAGGAAAATCTGAAATGAAAAGAGATAAACATAGTTTTCGTGTGTTTTTGTCAATTTGTAAATAGTGCCATCATTTGGGCTATCCATGTGAGCTCAGATATTTCTCAGAAATATTCTTCCATGGGAGTTTGAAAGCTAAATAGCTCTTTAGAAACACCTGGAATAGTTTTTGTTCTGCAAAGTATCTCCAATTTTTCTATTGTTATGGTTTAAAAGACTACATTATATTTAAATGAACATCTATGTGTAGAACACTACATTACAAGAGTGTAGAACACTATCCTACAAAGAAGAACATATTTTGAAATGAGTATGAGGTCTAAGCAAGGCAGCATATAGACACAAAGTGAGTTAGAATAGTGATATGATAATTCAGTTTGTAATATAAACAGGCTTATATAGTCTTCTGGTTAAAGGGTAACTGAAGCAATGAAGACAGTGATCAGCTTGATTGTTGTAGAGATAGGTACAAGCAATATCGGTTTGCTACTATATTGTTGCTACTAGTAGACTATTCCTAGGATAACTACTGCTATTACTACTACTATTACTTTTACTAATGTATATTTCTAAGTGCCTTACCTGTATTACTTCACTTAATCCATACAACAGAAGAGAAAACCAAGGTGTATGGACGTTCCCTAACTTACCCTACATTACAACATGTATTAAGTGGTAGAGCAGTATTTGAAACCCAGGCTCTTGACTGACATTCTGTTTCACAAACAGACCCATCTGCTGCTGGTGGCATGCAGTTGGTATGGCGAGGTTCCTGGGCAATGATGAGGAAGCTGTCCTTTAACTCACCAACCCGGTCATCTCATTAAGTTAGGGGAAGGCGACTTGATCATGAGCAGATGTTCCTACCAAATAACGCTCTGTGTTTATCAGTGCCGTTTATAAAGGAAGAAGCAATGAGGCAATTTGTCACATGCCTCTAGGAGGAGCACAAGAGTCCTTTTGACCAAACAGGTGCTGGTCACATGATGCTCATGGGGGATGTTTCATTGGCCACCATCCTTCAGGGACCGGAGTTACCTGCTGAGCTGAAGATCGGCTGCTGCCTGAATGTAGTCTTCAGGCAGTCAAATGAACCCAGTCTGTAATGGTTTCCCTGCTTTCTTTCAATCTTCTTTCTGGACCATGAGACTCCTCAGAGCCTCCCAGCTACCTCCCTTCATCTTCAGTAACCTCCATTTCACATACCATGATGATGTGCTCCAGTGCCCTCTTGCCTTCTCCCTGAATTCCCCTCTCCATGTGTGGGACAAACATTCCCTTTTCATCTTTCTTGTTCCTTTCCCTGAATTACAGAAGGTAGTTCCTCCTATGGGCAGATTACTTCATCTTTCAAGCCCCAATTTCTTTATCTGTAACACAGAGGTACTGAAAGCATACACCTCATGGGACTTTCATGAGCATTAAATGAAATAATTAGTTTAAAGGTGATGAATCCAGTGTTAGCCACGTCAATAATAGTGATGTTGAAAGAAGCAAGATTCCACACTTAGGAAGTGGTATGGTGAATAGACAAAACAGTACATCTCTAAATTGGGTTAGGACCACATTTATCAGATTTCTTTCCAACTGAACAAAGGAAGCCTTCCACATGTCCTAGATCAGGGGTCAGCAAACATTTTCTATAACACACCAGATAGTATGTGTTTTAGGCTTTTTAAGGCCAAATGGGCTCCGAAGCAATTACACAACTCTGCCATGTACTGCAAAAGCAGCCATAGACAATAGTGAACAGATAATTGTGGCTGTGTTCCAATAAAACTTTATTTACAAAAACAGGCATCAGGCTGGATTTGGCTGGTGGGTCATAGTTTGCTGACTCCTGCTCTAGGTTCTAGGTTGAATCACTAGGGGCCTAAGCTGAGGTTTGCAGTCAAACCCTGCTCAGCCTGGCTTTGCAAATGCCTCCCTCGGGGTACTTAGGGAAAGAGTGGGTGGGACAGGACAGAGGCATATACCCAGTATCATCACAATGGCTAGCACCCATCCCAACAGACCATCATTTCCCACCCCAAACATTTTACTCTAGCCCCGTGGACAAAAGTGTGGGAGTGGGAAAGGCCAGGGAAACCACCGGGGAACAATCTATCTATGGGTGTGCTGTGCTGAGGAAAAGGTGGCTCCCTGGAAGCCAGATCCAGAGGCAGGAAAACAGTGGTTAATGAGTCAGGCCTCTGGAGGCACAGGCATGTGAGTTTATATCCCCCTCCATGCCCCTCAACACATATTTTTCAACCTTATGGCTCCATTTCATTTTTAAGTGGTAGTACAATGACATCAATACAGAATGAAGTTTTGATATGACATGTGGTATTTGTATGAAATATGTCACTTAGTGCTTGATACCTTATACACACTGAATAATGTTACTCTCTATTCCTGCTGTTATTTTTTATTATTGAGTCCTGAAACCTGGGAAGCACAAAAGAGCAGCCTTCTGCACTCTTCAATTCCCTTTCATCTTCTCTCCTAATAGATCACAGGGTTTGTTTTTTGTCTGTGTACAGGTGATACCAATCACAGTCATTTACGTGAACAACTTACCATGTATGCTCAATTACCATGCAGCCAATAACGATTTTATTCATCAAAAAATATATTCGATTAACCTAATTGTTAATTACTTTAGTGGATTGATAACACTCAACTCAGCCCATGTGTACTCAGACTTCATAGTTTGCTACTCAGAAGTATGGCCAAAAATGTGCCTGCACACATGACTGAGAGAAAGAGAGAGATGGAGGGATGGAGGAAGGGAGGGAGGAAGAGAGAGAAAGAACAATCAATGATTATACTGTTAATGGAGGTCTCTCATTTTTCCAAAGGGATCTTTCTTAAGGTGTAAGCAGAGGCTTGTAGGAAGGTGTTGGAGTAAGAGGTAAGGTTAATAATCAATGATTAAAATGTTAGAGACACATAGTCTGTCACATCTGCACGTAATAAGTACTCTCTCAGCCCAATTATTTACAGAAGGTATAGACAAGAGTGGACACTTGAAGCTGAGGAGTGTCAAATTCGTTAAACAAGGAGGCCATTAGGCTGAGGTTGATTTAATGCCTTAGTAGCCTACATGAGCAAACCAAAACCTAAGCGCAAATGCCTCAAGGTTAAGACATCAAAAACCTAAGGGCAACCAATCACAAATGGTCAATTAAGCTTCCCCAGGCAAGGCAACTGCTTAAGCCAGAGCCAATCAAATCATTGTTTTGCTTTGCTTCTGCCTCTTCTCTATAAAAGTTTCCCCCCTCTCCCCACCCCCCC